GCCCCATCCAACAAGGTGAGACAGCAGGTCAGCAAGAATGTGTGTGCACTGAGCAACATGGGTACCTTGAGCCAATCTTCCACATGTGATGGTTACTGTTTTACTCCTCAACCCTTACCAAATCTCATGCAGATTTTTCAGTTGGCTGCCTTCACCCAGAATATTCAAAGAGGGAATTCTGGGAGACTTTGTTCCAGTATAGCTTGTTGACATAGTACAAAGCCACCACAAGGGTCGAGAGTCCCTGGCAATTGGGTGCTGCATAGGGCTCTACAGGTCCAGGCCCAGATATAAGCACTCATTGCCCTTTCCAAAAGAGAAACTTCAGTGCCACAGACTGTGCACACAGCTTCTCCAGCTCCTTGTTCCCATGTCAGGCAGCACTGTTCATGAAATCAGCTGCTATTCCAGAATGAAATCCCCAAGTCCATGATTGTTTTTTACCTCATGGCAATGGCCTAGGCAGAAATTTAGATGAAAGAGTTCAACCCAAGATTTCTTCTGAGCCTTAGTTGGATAGTAAGTGGGGGTGGTTGTGGTGGGGAAGGGTTATCTTGGTGTTTTTTAAATTAAAAAATGATGTTTAAACAGGATGTTCAAGAAACAGCTAAGTTGAGAATCCCTATTCCTTTATAACTATTGTCTCACTTTCTTTTTTTTGCTCAACTATTTTCTTTCTCTTCTTCCTCCTCCTCTGCTTCCTTTGTGGCTAGTTTCTTGGAATGGGATTCTACATATGACTTCACTTCCTCCATCTAGTTTCTGCTCTTATACCTCCTCAAAATTATTTTGGCAAAATAAACCAAGGACCCTTGTAGCTAAATGCAAAAGAGTGCTGTTTTGATTTGGAACACTTGACCAGTTTGTTAAAAAATAAAAACATCTGAGATGAGTTAATTTAACAGTTTGTTTGAGCAAGAAAAAGATTCTGGAACCCAGCAGCATTCCAGATTGAAGTTGGTTTGGAATGCTTTACCTGACCACAGTGCAGGTATACTTATAGCTAGAAAAAAGGAAGTGACCTACAGAAAAATCATGACTGGCTGCAGTCTGCATTTGTCTTATATGTGCATGGTATGAAAAGATATTTGCCTTACATGGACATGGTCTGATCATTTGGTGCCTGTGATTAGCTGATGTTAACTGCTGTGATTGGCTGAGACTCAGCTTTCTGTTACATAAAAAGACTTAAGCTAGTTTTCAGCTTGTTTGTATACTGAGTTAGACTGCAGTTCATTACATAAGGAGCCATCTTGCTGCCAAATTTTATCAACCAAGAACAAAAACAGACTTAGGCCAACTTAATAGACCTCACACCTCTCTCAAACTACCCAACCAATTTCAGGGATGTCGCCTGTGTACACTCTTCAGACAAGGCACCCTGAGTAGCCCTGTCCTTGGTGGACTACTCCAGTAATCTGGTGTAAACTCCTACTGAGATACTAATGACTTCCACATTTCTAGCCCTGATTCTCCTCAGAGTTTCTCAGAACATCTTTTTCCCCAACAACATGGAGGCATTTCAAACAATATATCCCAAAGTGAACCAATTAATTATTTTTACCCTCAAGCTCCACTTCCTCTTGTTTTCTCTTAACTCAGTTTATAACACCTGTTCATCTCTCAACTCATATCCCTCCTACTTCTCCATTGGTTAAACTAGGGCCTGAGGCATGACACTTTAATATATCCATATGGTACAAAATTAAGCAATATAAATGGGGATACATTGTGAATGATTTCTTTTTTGCTTCTGTCTACAAGTGTCTTCCCATTGCTATATGTAATTACTTTTTTGTTTCCTAGTCAGATTCCCATTACTATAACACATACCCATGATAATAAACTTATAGTAGAAAATGTTTATTTTGGCTCACAGTCTATGGTTTATTGGCCTCACTTCTTGTAGGCCTGTAGTAAGGTCATGTATCATGGTGGGGAGTATGTTATGGAGCAAGCTCACCTCATGGCACCCAGGCAGCAAAGAGAGGAAGAGGAGGGGGCTGGAGGCTCACTAACCTCTTCAGAGGCACATCCTCAATGACTGACAGACCTCCCACTGTGCTCCACCTCTTCAACATTTTGCCACCTCCCAAGCACACCAATCTGGAAACCAAGACTTTAACACACAGGCCTTCAGGGGACATTTCAAATCCAAACCATACCACCAGGTGACATTTAGATAAAGTCACTTTGTGTTTCTTGGAGCTGCAACAAAAAAAGTCCTTATTTGTATCTTTTATCATATACATTATCTAGATGTACATTACAATTCTGACACTATGTGCATTAGATATACTTTCAGCACCTTGCTTTTGTTACTTGATATAGCTTGGGGCTTTCTGCATGGTGTTGCATTATATGGAAGTATCATTATTTATCCAGTCCTTTATTGATGAGTTCATGAGTGGTTTCCACTGTTTTGCAGTAAGCAATGCTGCAATGAGTAACCCTATACATATTTGTGCATATATATATATATATGATAAATTCACAGGATTTCCTGGGTCAGAGTAAAAGCTTTTACATTTTTGAGAAATATTGCCCCCTTTCCCCACAGTTTTATCAAGAGACTGTGTTAATCTTTTGGATTTAAAATATTGGATAGGTAAGAAATGATATCCTAAACTGGGCATCATGGCTCATGCCTATAATCCCAGCAGGAGGATCGCTGTGAGTTCGAGACCAGCCTGGGCTACATAGTGAGTTCCAGGTCAGTCTCAACTACCTAGCGAGACCCTGTCTCAAAAAACAAAACAAAACAAAAAAAGAAATGATATCCTAGTACTCTTTTAATCTGCATTTCTTAGAGTGAAATTGAGTATACAGTGGACACTTGAGTTATGACAGGCCTGAATATGAACAACTTGGGTTATGACTGTAATTTCAGATGTAACTTATGACCAAATTCCTGAGTAATGACCTGAATGCTGGCTGCTTGTGCTTCCAGACGTCTCAGATACAGATTTAACCCTTAAAGAGTTCTGGAAGGGACATTTCAACACCCTTTTCTTTGTGGGGTTAAGAAATCCTGGGCCAGTGTCTAAGGACATTGAGACAAAACTGCCTGAAAACAGATTTTCAAAGCTATGTAGAGGAGCCTTCAATTGACCAACTTGAGTTACAACCAGCCCTCACAAATGAATTGATTTTGTAAGTCAAGGGTCCACTGTATTTTCATATGTTCAGCAGCTATCTGTATTTTTTCTAGGAGTTTGCATTCCTTCTTGGGTTGTTGGTCTTTTTCTTTGTAAATCCTAGGCATCTTCATCTATTAGTGAAATTAACCATTTACCTGTGATATATTTTCACCATGGTTTGTCTTTTGGTTTTGCTTATATTTTCCTGGGCAAGTTTTTGATACTGATATAGCAAAGTTTATCTTTCTTAGCATATGGATTTTAGACATAATTAGCAAGAACTTTCTCCTTTCAAGGTTATAAAATAATTCTTCCTATTTTCTTTCAATGTATTTAAAATTATTATTATTATTTGTGTTTTGTTTTTGAGACAGGGTCTTGCTATGTAGTTCAGGTTGTCCTTGAACTGTCTAGCCTAGGTTGGTTGTGAACTCAGGGAGATCCTTCTGCCTTTAGCCTCCTAAGTGCCAGTGGTATAGGTGGACTAGATGCAACTTACAAATCTGCTAGACATGTGAAACTTGAGTTCGTATTCTCTAAAACTGAAGAATTCTAGGAACAACAGAGGTTAAGAGTAGGAAAAATTTATTGAGAGAAAGATAGCTTCTGTCTAAGAGAGACAGAAAGGGTACTGCAAAGTGGGCTGCCCACCCACCCTGCTTTTCAAAGGTATTTTTATACAGCAAAACCATGAGGCAAGGCAGGTAGGAAGTGAGACAAAACTATAAGACCCAGTGGAGAAATTACAAAGTGGGTATGAGGTGGGTCAAAACTATGACCAACCAATAAGATCACTCAGGTAATATTGATTAAATGGGGATTAAATGGGAAAACAAGTCATGTACAAGGAATTCCCCCATATAGAATATCAATTACTGCTATTCATCTCTAGGGGAAGTAGTACCTATTTTATTTTTGTAATGCTAACCAGTGAATGTGCCTCAGTTGTTCTCCTTACTGGCTCCTAGCTGTCTTGGCTCCTTGAGGGCAGCTCTAATTGCCTAAGAGATATTGAATTAATTTACCTATTCTTATAGGTATAGGCCACCACGCCCAGGTTTCTTTTGACAATTACACAAATTTTGTTTTATATTTTAATCTTTGATCCATTTGGAGCTTGTCTCTGCACATGGTGCAACATACAACTCAACATTGCATCTTTCCAGATGACCAAGAGTTTTGTTTTATAAAAGTCTGTTCTTAAGAGACATCCACTTTGTCATTCACTAAATAACTCCATCCTTCCTATCTTCTTTCCAATCCTCCAGCCTAGTCAATTCTATCTCCCAAATAGGTTTGATCTCTAAACCCTCTTGGCAATCCTAGTCTCCCGGACTGCCCCAGGCTGTTTCTCTTCCTCTCTTCCCGACTGAGTTATTTAACCCTCCTCTCATTTCCTGACTTCCCTCCCCCGATGCTCAGTCTTTCTTCAGGGTTTCCACAGGATCTATCAAAGCTTTGCTCCCGCATCCGGAGGGCCAGCTGTGCTCCAGTACAGCGAAGCGCGTGGCCCATTGCGTTCTTGGCCTTGGCCTCTCTGGTGGAGGAAATTTCGGGTTCATCCTTCACAGTTTAGCGCAGGCCCAGCTCCTCCCGGAAGCCTCCATGATTGCAACTCACGCGCACGCCCCGCCCCCAGGCCCCCTCCTGTGAACCCACACTGTCCAGTGCTCCTTCCACACCCCACTACCCCCAGAGCCTGCCCGGTGTACCGTCCACACCGCTCTCGCGTCTCGACCGAGGGGTTCCTCGAGGGAGGGGCCGTGTGTCTAGAGAAGAGATATACTGAGTCCTCTCCACAGAGAGAAAACGGGAAAAGACATAGGCACAGAAGGGCTCCAGGAGACAGAGAGCCTGGAGGACAGTCAGCCCTGGAGCCAGGGAGCGACCATCGAGATGTACCTCTGAGACCTCCGAACGTCCTAGAGAGGAGACGGAAGGAGAGACCTCTCCGTGCGCACCTGTCCGACTGTGTTCGCCACTCACTTCCTGTCCGCCGAGGGCTTGGAGGACCCCGGCGCGGTTTAGGGGCTGAAGGGCCGCGGGTGAGCTGGTGAAGCCGGGTTGGCGGGTTTCGGTCGCGCCCATCTGCAGTCTCGGGTCCAGCTTTGGTGCTGCTGTGGGACGAGGTCCTGCGGGTGGCAACGCGGATGAGCCGCGCCGCTGTAGGCTCAGGTAGGAGCGAGGCTCATCCTGCCTCGCCAGGTTTGGCCTGAGTAACGCAGTGTGTCTGCGAATGAGGTCTTGCACCGAGGTAGGACTCTTCGAAAAAAGTGAAAGCAGTCATTAGAACAAGACTTAGGACGGTCATTGAAAAAGTAGGTACGCGGCGCCTTCTATATGTCCGGTGCCAGAGATGAAGGATGAAGACTTCTGTTCCCTAAAAGGGAATCTGGTGTGTGGAGACACTGGTAAACATTGACACTACAGTGCATTACATGCACTGGTGGGACGAGCAGTTGGAACAGCTAAGAAGTCATGGAAGAGAAATCTCACTGCAACAGAGAAAATGGATACTGAAAATGTAGACTGAAAATGTAGTCGATGTAGGCTGTGTGTGTGTGAGTGATAAATACACAAACACCTAATAGAATATTTAGCAGAAGTTTGTGGCGTGCCTCCTGCAGGTTGTTCATTCTATGGACCAATCAGGGTCTTTGGACCTTAGGTCTGGCCCCTCAGCCTAGGTCCTCCTTCCTACCCACCATGAAGGTAAATAAGACTCATCTTCCCTCTACCCAAAGGCTCTTCCTCAGGAATACTTAAACTTATATTAATCATTTTCCTTTTTAAACTTCTCATGTTTCATACACACACACACATATATAATGTATTTTGGGAGGCAGATATTGGCTCCATTGTCTTTAGACTGAGCACATCATCACTCCCAAGCCACTAATATGCAAAGTAATTTCTGACCACAAGGCATTTGCCTGGAGTACTCTTTGAATGACTGGCTCACGCTCATTCTTCACTTCTTAGCCTAAGTGTCATGTCTTCAGAAAAGCCTTATCCAGATCCATTGTCCTCACTAAAAAAACCACCCTAGTTATTTCCTTTCTAGAACTTGTCTCAGTTCTTAAGTACTTGCTCATGTTTTCTTTTTCTTTTGGCTGCATTAGTACAAATTTCAAGAGGGCAAGCTCTAGTTTCTGCATGTTTTGAGAGGACATATGTACACACACACAGAGGCATGCATTGCTTAATGATAAGGACATATTCTGAGAAATTCATTGTTGTGTGGACACCAAAGAGTGCACTTACCTAAACCTAGATAATCTAGATTAATTAACATGGCCTTGTGATACAATCAAGAAGCACAGTACTATATGAGGCTGCTATTGGCAAAGCAGAGTATACTGTTTTACAGTGAACTTTTTAATAAGTGGAAGGAGTACACTCTTAACATAATGATTAAAACCATAATAGAGTAAATATTAAGCCAATAGCTTAGCTTTATAGTATTAAGTAAACTAATACTAGACTATAGGAATTTTTCAGCTCTGTTATAATCTTATGGGACCACTGTCATATGTAGTCTGTTATGCAGTATATGACTGTGTGTCTTTGGACATTAAATGTATGTTTCCTTTTCTGTTGAAAGAGTGGGCCCTTGTACTAATTTAGGTATATCCCATTTTATACTATTTCCTGTTGTTGAGTTATCACCTCAGTGACATCTTAAGCTATTTTTTTTTTTTTCCGTACCGGGGATTGAACTCGGGCCCTTGCGCTTGTGAGGCAGGCACTGTTAAGCTATTTGTGGGTAATAAATCTTAAGCATCTTCTGTACCTAATAGGTATTTAATAAATACTATGTTTAGTTGATGTGACCATCAGGAAATATGTTCAGCCTTTTGAAAAAGTACTTCATAGGTTAACCATGTTCTCCAACAGAATATTAATGTAGACACAGGACTGGGATGGACTGACCTTTTGTGTGTTTCATGTTCTCAAAAGACTCATTTGTGCTGTCATCCTCAGTCCTCAGGAGGGAGCGTGAAGATGCTTAAAGAGCATCCAGGGATGGCGGAAGATCCTCAGCATCAAATAGGTGTTCCTGTGGTGAAACTGGAGAAAGAGCTGCTGTGGGGCAGGGGACGGGAAGACTCTAGTCCTGAGACTTTCCGTCTGAGGTTTCGGCAGTTCCGTTATCAGGAAGCATCGGGTCCCCAGGAAGCCCTCAGGGAGCTCCAAGAGCTCTGTCGTCGGTGGCTGAGGCCTGAGCTGCACACCAAGGAGCAGATCCTGGAGCTGCTAGTGTTAGAGCAGTTCCTCACCATCCTCCCCCGGGAATTCTATGCCTGGATTCGAGAACACAGCCCAGAGAGTGGCAAGGCCTTGGTGGAGGACTTGACTGACAGCACGCTGGACGCCAAGGCGGTGGGTGAGAAGAGGGTGTCTGGGTCTTGTGCTGATGGTATGGGAATTAAAGAATGAAGAGCTTGAAGAAGCTGTGAGAGTAGATGAGGTGTAGAACCTCTTCTGCTCTCAGACTCAGAGAGTGGTGGGATTTTTAGTAAGAGGAGCTCTTCCCAGGAAGATGCGGATGTGCAAAAAGGCCTGAAATCTTTGGGCACCAGGGCAGAGGCCTGATCTTCTTTCCTTATTGGGCCTCTTGCCCAAAGAAGGCAGCTGTGATTGTTTTCAGGGCCCTCTATGGAACTAGACCCTCTGTGGGGAGCTGCCTGTGGGAATGCTGGGAATTCTACCTTGTGAATACTTTTCCTGTGAGTTGTCTGTGGCTCTGCTGTTTCCCTGTTTCCTTGTCTGGAACACTGGCTCATAGAGCTCCCACAGTGATTACATGGCACTGTTCTGATGACACCAACTGACCCCAGCACAGATGCTGCCTTGCAACTCTGGCTGTGTTTTCATCACACTGTGGCTGTGGTACAGTCACCTGATCAAGGCTGGGAAAGAAGACCAAGTCCCAGTCATTCTGTAGTCTGGCCTCGTTCTGCATTGCCATCATCCCTCACTTCCTGTATCCCTGTAGAGTCTTAAGAACTTGTTTTCTACTCTTATCTCAGGAGCCTAAAAGCAGACAATAACCTTTGTTTTGTGAAGTGCATCTCAGCATGGGAATCCTCCTTGTCCTTGCTTTATGTAGAGCAGCATTTCCTCACTGTCTTAATTCACTGCAAAGTATGGGTTTTTGTATTTTTTAGCTTCTCAGCTTCTGCAGCTGGGAAATTTGTTTTCTAGTGGTGAGTATATAGTGCTAAAGTGCTCAGCAGAAAATTTAATCAGTGTCAAGGCAGGCACGGAGGTCCTTGTCAAAGGGCGTGGACAGATACAGGTTGCTCAGGGCCTACAAAGGGGCCTCTCCCTCTTTGCACCTCTTCACTGACATCCTCGAGAAGAGCTCAGCCAATTTTCTTTCCTGTTCCTTGAAGCCCAAAGGGTTCTTTTCTTAGTTTTCTTTTTAGGTTCTGATTTATTTCCCTTCCTAATAGCTTTGACCAAGCCTCATTCTAATTTGTGTTGGGAACTGTTCTTAGGTTCCATGCCACGTGCAAGGAGAGCAGCAGGAGACAGTCATTGGCAGAGGTGCTTGGGAGCCAGGTGTCCATCTGGGGCCAGTGGAAGTCAAGCCCGAGTGGGGGATGCCCCCTGCGGAAGCAGTTCAAGGCCTAGACCAGAGTGCCGAAGAGCAGCTGTGTCAGGACCCTGGCGGTGGGACGCAGGCCTTCCAGGAGCAGGGTAAGGTGCAGACAGCAAGGATGGAAAGGCACAGAGCACTGTGCTCTGCAGCCACCCCCACTCATTTGCTTCAGAAGTGTAATATTAATTTTCTGGTCTTAATACTATAGTCCAATGATGTAAGGTATTACCATTGTCAAACTGAGTGAAGGGTCTAGGTACCTCTCTGTGTTGTCCTCGCATCTTCCTGTCATCTATTTTTTAATTTTTTATCTTTATTAAGTTTATTGGTATAATTTATGCATACAATTAAGTTACATTCATCATTTGTACCTTGTACCTGTACATGACAGGTCTTGATTCTCATTTTTTCCCCTTCTCCCTGCCCTCCCTTCACCCCCTCCTCCCCTCCCCATTTACAAACATTTTATTTCCATTTTTTTCATTTTCTCATTTTTTTTTTTTGCCTTATTACCTTTCCCCTACCCTTCCCAGTTTCCCTACACCTCTGCATGGTGTAACTTTGAATTTTCCTGGCTACTTTGTTGAACTCAGTAGGACACAGATGAAATTTTCTCTACTTTGACTCTGATTTCTGGAGGGGATGACTAGGGAATCATGTTCTCTTATCATTTCTTCTTCCCTGCACATCCCTTCTAGAAACCACCAGGAGCTATGCAGCTGACAAGTGGAAATATTTACTAAGTGCACAAACTACACGTATCAAAGTAATGTGGGATTTTCTTCTATTACTGAATCACAGAGGGGGTTATTTTGAAGTATGACAAGGGAACATGAATAGCCCTGAAGGGAGAGAGCTGGGATAATCTTAACACCCTAAAATAGGGCAAGAGACATCTAGACCCCTCTGGGTAGGTCTGTGTGGCTCCAAAGTGAGTCTAGCTAAAGTCTGTAGATGCCTGAGATTCTGTGTTGGGTGGGGGATGCCTTTGAGCGGGCTGACTGATGACAATGTTGATCCTTCCCCTGCTTTTTGTCCTTTCTCAGCGCTGCCGATTCTTCAGGTAGGTCACAGCCTTCCCCCAGTGGGCACCAGAGACCAAGAGATGGGAGCTGGATTCCTTACAGCAGGACCGCAGGTGAGCTGTTTTGATGGAGATGCACCTTCCACAGGGCTTTTCAGCACAGCAAAATGCCATCCACAAAGTTAAGTCACTGCCTCGCTAGGTCTGATAGCATGGCTATGTTGTGTTCTTCACTTTGTCACCATCTTCAGGTTGTTAATCTGCCCCGAGCCTTATGACTGGACTCTTGTCATAGATTGACACAGTGGTATTTCTCTTTATCATTATGAAGAGGAAGACAGAGAGTTTCTACAGGCATCTTGGCTGTGGTGCTTGCCCTAGAGATGATGCCCTTTGTGGCTGCTTCTGCTGCTATTCCTCTGGAGATGTCACTGAGAAGTAGCTGGCTCGGTGGGGCCTCTAGGGTACTGGGCAATATTTTTGGGCCCACATTTGCCACCCTAGGAGTTGGGGCCTTGTTAAAGCTTGCAATCCTGCTTCACCTGGAGGTAAGGAGGGTACAGATGGGCACTCCTGCCACAGTTTAAAACTCTTCCACAGGTGCTAAGTGCTGCCAGAGAGGTGGGTTCCCAGAGGGGCACTTTTCTGAAGAGGGAGGGTCTTAAAGGGCTTGACAGAATAAAGGCATTAATTCAGAGGAAAAAAAGCAAGTTAAGCCTGATTAAGGCAAAGTGTCATTGAACAAAGCTTGGTGCCCACTCCATTCCCTATTCCTGTTTTCCAAGAACAGTTTATAGGGAGTGAGGAGTGGTGTCTACCTCTTTTCATTTTGTCAGATCTTCATCTTTTACTGGAGTGGTTCTTCATGGTATAGTGAATGAGAAAATGAGGACACATTTCTTCTAACACAGTGCTGTTCTTTAAGATAAGGCTTGCGGGACATGTGGCATTTCCCAGTCTCTGTGAAGCTTGAGGGGCAAGTGCAGGTGACTGTGAATGGACGTAGGATGCTAGGAGGGAGCAGTGCTGCAGCATCAGAAACTAAGACAAATCAGTTGCTTTCCCTTAAGCTGGGTGTGGTGGCACAGACCTGTAGTCCTAGCACTCATGAGGCTGACACAGGAGGACTGGCCAGCCTTGGCTCCATAGTGAATTCAAGGCCAGCCTGAACTATATAGCAGACCTTGTCTCAAAAAAAAAAGGGGCAGATTCCTTCTGCCTTCTTGCTCTGCTCAGCCCTCTGTTGTTCTTTGTATTCACTGCTGCTATTAGACTGTCCTTTAGGGACCCTTATTTAGCCACAGTATTGTTTCAGGGGTTGGCACCCTTTAAAGACATGGCTCTGACCTTCCCTGAGGAGGAGTGGAGGCGTGTGACCCCAGCCCAGATCGACTGCTTTGGGGAATACGTGGAACCGCAGGACTGTGGGGTCTCTCCAGGTAAGACTATTTCCGTCCAGCAGGTGAGAAACTGAGGAGTTTAAGAATCTGTAGGTCAGAGGTCTTGTCTTGTTCCTGGTGCTTCTGATAGAAGAAGATTTCATGGCAGATGGAGAGAGGGCACAGGCTAGTAGGAGCTGATTTGGTTCATTGTGTTTCAAGAGAGGATGCAGATGAAGGAGCAGGAAAACACAGGTAGTTATTGTGTCTGTGGACAGGCTAGGTGTTAGGATCCCCAGACACCTGCTGTGAACAGTTGAGACTGTGTTTACTTTAGTGTATATTTTGGGCCCCCTTTTCAAAAATCAAATGGATGAATATGTGTGGGGTCATTTCTGCTTTCTCTACACTGTTTCATTGATCTACATGTCTGTTTTTATGTCAGTACTGTGCTGGTTTTATCACTGTAATTTTTATTGATGTTATTGTGAGTGGTACTGTCTTCCTAATTTCTTTCTTAGTGACTTAATCATTGATATACATGAATGCTATTGATTTTTGTGTATTGATTTTGTATCCTGGTATATTGCTGAATTTGGTTATTGATTCTAGGAGTCTTTGGTGGGATTTTTTTAATTTTCTATGTAGAGGATTGAGTTGACAGCAAGTAATGATAATTTGACTTCTTTCTTTTCTGTCCACATCCCTTTTTCTTTCCTGATTGCTCTGGCTAATATTTTGAGTAATATATTGAACTGGAGTGGTCATGGTAGACATTCTGATCTTGAGACAGGGTCTCACTGTGCAATTCAGTCTGAACTTGAACTGCTTCAGCCTCCCAAATGCTAGAATTACATGCATGTGCCCCTACACCCAGCTAAGACAAGGTCCTTCTATTCCTATACCTATTATGTTCCAGTCTCCTGCCCAGTGTATGACACATTCATGTACCATTACATACCTGCTGTGGGTATAGCAACTTTCCTGAGAGTACAGCCCGCTTTGAAGATGAAGAAAAAAGACCCAGAGAGGTCATTTGATTTTTCTATAGTCATACAGCAGTGGAGCAGCCAACTTAACATTTAAAGTCAGGCCTCTTACCATTTAGTCTATTCTCTTTCACTAATGTGTCTTTTTCTGAGTGCCTTATTTGTGCCTAGGTGTTTCATTTTGTTTATTTTCCCTGTGCTTCACATTTTGAACATTTATTGTAAAAATGCACAAATGTATGGAAAAGCTAAGACTAGTACACTTATACTCTTATTTTTTTCAATAGTTGTTAACATTTGCCATATTTATCTATAAAACGTGTGTGTTTTCAGAATGATTTGGAAATTGGGGACATCTTGATCTTTCACTCCTAAATACTTTGACATGTATCTTAGTAGTGTCATAATTCCATATAAGAAAATAAGTATGTTTCATATGTATAATATCTGTTATATATTCATGCTTCCCCATGTCTAGTTTCACACATTGTACTTAGCTTTAATTTTATTATTTATAACACTTCACAGCTGGTCATTACCCAAATTTCTCAATCAATTTAATAAATAGATTAAGTAAAGATAAATAGAAGCATGTTGAAGTTGTTGCTATCTTTTTACTATGTAGTGCTTCACATATACCAGTGGAGACAAGAAACTACAGCTGTACACCATGCCCTAGGTGAAGCTCACAAACAATACTGCACAGAAGAAACAGAAACAGGGTGTGAATCAAATATGTAAAGTTCCAGAACAGACAGGGAAAGGTCTGGATAGAGTGTGCTCTGGTGTAGATGTAGTGGTGGAGGGGACAGAGATGTGCAGGAGACTATAATATTGATTATGCCCAAAGCAGGCTGTAGAGAGTTAATCCCACAATTGGCTTTTTTATAGAAGTGAGTTCAGCTGAAGTCTATGTGCTGAGGTCAGACTGACTTGCACCCAAATTCCATTCCTACAACTAAAACCTTACTAGAAGGACAATATTCTAATTACAATTATATATTTTGTCTATTCTGTTCCTAATTCTAGAATGCTTTGTCTTGTCCTTTATGAGCCTTGTTTACATTAATTTCCATAGAAACTGCCTGTATCCTGCCTTTGCACGTAGCTTGCCTTTAACTTCAATTGAGTGCCAGTGAAAATCAGCACCTGGGACTGGCCAGTGCCTTTGTGGGTTGCACTGGCATTGCTTGTCTTGGTACCCTGCTTTCTCTTAGTTTGGTCTTTTAGTTTTTTGTCTTAGGCCTGTGTCATATACTGGGCAGGATACTGGAACCTAAAACATGGGGTCTCCAGTAGAGTCTTTCCACGCTGTCTGTACTGTTCTGTATTTTGAGCTAGAAGCTGTTTAGATGGTTGGGCTTGTTATGAAAATTCTTTGAACTCTACATTTGTTTTGTACCCCTTTACTGTTTTATGAAATGTTTACAAAGCAGAATAAATCAGAGGTGATAGCTTGTACTTCATATTTTATCAACCAGGGAGCCTGTAACATCAGTTTCTTTTTATCTAATGATCTTGCCTGAAAGATCTTCCTCCTCCTTTAAGTATCACTTGTTATTTCTTTTTTTTGTTTTGTTTTCTCTTGGCTTCTTTGTTCCCCAGCATCTTTTCTCCTCTGTTTCTTTCTCTTTTCCTTATTCCCTGTGAACCAATGTTCTGTCAATTCAGAGTGTAACATGGATTAGAATGAGGACAGAAAAGTCAAGTTGGGGATACTCAGGGCCAGCCAGCTTGAGTTGGGGGACAGACTTGGCTCCTTCATTCAGCCAGCACTTAGCAGGCATTTCCCTGCAGTGATCCCCTTTCACACTCTAGATTCACCCTTCTCTAGTTAGGTGACAAGAGCAGTGTGTGCAGGATTGGGGAACTGAGCAAGTGTTGAGGACTTGGAGAAGTACCCACTCTTCTGTAGCCAGGGTGGCCTTATAATAATCAGGGAAAGGCAGAACGAATAGATGAAGTGCAGAATAAATCAAGTATCAAAGGAGTGTAACCGTGCAGAAAAGGCCAGGGAAGAGAATAACTGGGAAGCCACTGATTTAGATTTTGAAGGGAATACAAGTCTGAATTAGTAGAAAGTTAAGTGGGAGGGCATTAAAATTTGGCAGGGTCTTCTGTAAAAGGGCAGGGAGGGGGACGAAGTAAAGGAAGGTCTGAATTTAGGGTCCATGGGAGTGAAAGGTGTTGAAATTGTTGGTCAAGGGAAAAAAAGAGAAAGCTGTTAATGGGATGTGTGGAAACAAAGTTCTTTGTTAGTCATTGGAGTCAGTCTTGATCTCCTTTCTCCTGTAGGTGTTGGGAACAAGGAAAAGGAGGCAAAATTACAGCAGGAAGACCTTAAAGGGGTGTTTGCTGGGCTGACTTCAGAGAGATTTGGAGAAACAGCTGTTCAGGGTCCTGACTTGGGACAGTCCTGTGAACAGGAGCCCAGGGGCTCTGGGAGTGGCCTGTCAGTGCTTTCTGCTTCCCAGAACAGTGTGCCCCTACCTGATGACCTCAAAGCCCACAGCTCCTTCTGGAAGCCTTTCCAGTGCCCTGAATGTGGCAAAGGCTTCAGCCGGAGCTCCAATCTTGTCAGACACCAGCGAACCCATGAGGAGGAGAAGTCCTATGGCTGCATGGAGTGCGGAAAGGGCTTCACCCTGAGGGAGTACCTCATGAAGCATCAGAGGACCCACCTGGGAAAGAGGCCCTTTGTGTGTAACGAGTGCTGGAAGACATTTAGCCAGAGACACCACCTGGAGGTTCACCAGCGGAGCCACACAGGGGAGAAGCCCTACAAGTGTGGGGACTGCTGGAAGAGCTTCAGCCGCAGGCAGCACCTGCAGGTGCACCGGAGGACACACACTGGTGAGAAGCCCTACACATGCGAGTGTGGCAAGAGCTTCAGCAGGAATGCCAACCTGGCCGTGCATCGACGTGCCCACACTGGCGAGAAGCCGTATGGGTGCCAGGTATGTGGGAAGTGCTTCAGCAAGGGGGAGCGGCTGGTTCGCCACCAGAGGATCCACACGGGTGAGAAGCCCTATCACTGCCTGGCCTGCGGGCGCAGCTTCAACCAGAGGTCCATCCTCAACCGGCACCAGAAGACCCAGCATCGCCAGGAGCCCCCACTGCAGTGAAGGTACCATGTGGAGGACGGCCCTTCCGCAGAGGTGTCTTTCATCTTAGGGAAGTGCTAGCGGTGTGCACTGATGGCTGCGCTGGTCCACTTTCTTTCCATGTGCTAACACAGGAAGAGAGCAAGGCCTGCTTTATCCAGGGCTTTCAGAGGGCACAGCTGACCATACCGCCATCCTTACCATCTTTTGGGGAGACAATACCCTGAGCTTCAGGTCAGGCTGGGGGTTTTTCCCCATCAGTGAGGTGTTCAAATCTACCTCTTGAACAAGTCCAGTGGTAAGGGCCAAATTTTGTCACAAGTTGGCAGCTCTTGTTTTTCTGATAGAGTTCCATCCTCCCTGCAAGAACATTAGCTCACCCCCTGCCCCCTTTACCTCCTGTGCTCCTGGCACTGAGAATACCATGGTAAGACAGATGAGACCTTGTTATCATGGAGCTTGGGGTATAGTAGTAGGAACCACAGACTCGAAGCAATCAGTAACTCCAGATATTCCAGAATGTGTTTATGTTGTAGTAAGAGCCACTGGAGAAAATCTTGTCATATGCTCTCATTCTGCCAGCCTGCTCCATGCTAGATCTCACCACCACTCTTTACCCCACTTGGGGTCTTCTCTCATGGAGCCTTGTTTATTTTGCATTATTTGTAGTCTCCTTTATCTCTGACTGTATAATTCTACCCTCATCTGTAATATTTTTTCATTCCATTATTCCTTGTACTATATAACAGCTATCAACACATCAGCCATTAGGAAATTAATATTTTGCTATCACTGAATAAACATGAGAATATTTTTAAAGAAATCTTCATTTCTGTACAAAGGTGTGATTAAATGAGCCTGAAAGATGAACTAATATTAATGCCTTACATTTGGTGGCATTTTACAGTAAAGAAAATGCTGTACTCTAGTGATTCATTCCATAAGTATTTATTGAAACATTGCAATCTGCCAGGAAATCTTGTGCTTGTTTGGGACACAAGGAGGGAGAAATCCAACACTGGAGATTTGTGTTGGTCATTGTACTTGATCTTCAGAACCCATGGACACACCCATCAACAGTCTTGGCCTGAGTAGTTATTCTTAGTCCTGGTGGCGTCTTGCCCTGAATTGCTTTCACCACTTACCTCTGTTGCTAAAAAACCTCTGTCCTTGGTGCATCTGGGTCCTCATAATCCAAGACACTCATGGTCCTGGATACCACTAATTAGAGATGAGGTAGTATTGCTGATTTCAGGAGCATAAAGATGTTTGTAGGCATCTAAGTAATACATTTCTTTCACAAGTGAAAAGATAGAATCTGGGAACTGCATAACTACTATGGGCTGCATGGCACTGCTGTGTTACTTTTAGACTGCTTTGAACTCTGAATACGTTTGTCTTTTGTTGATAGTATACTATTGAAAGATGGTATATTATTGTCACATGGTGTCTCCTCATATTCTTTTGCTAAATTTTTCTTTTTTTCCCATTGTGCACTATAAATAGTCTGACTGACAGTTGTATTGCTCCATATACTTAGAAACGCATAATTTTAATCACTTATTTCCCTCCTTGCCCATTAGCCATGGCCATAAGGCTGTACTAACCAGTATGTGTTATGTGAGACACGCACACAGAGCTGCTGATGTTACTAAATAGTGCTGAGATCCATACATTAGATTCACAGGATCTGGGCCTGACAAGGCCCAAGGCTGGCCTCCTAGGAGATCTGTGTCCCACAGTGACGCAGGGACCATAGGAGCCACCACATCAGTGTTTGCATGATTACCTGAATTAAATTGTTGTTTTACTTTGATCATGCACTTAACCAAACAGGCCTCTGGGTTTTCAGCAAGTTAGTCTCTCAAGAGAAGCCGCAGGAAGAGCTGAAACTTGCTGTTTTGCCACTATGGGCCTCTTGTATGTCTGTTCTGAGGCCAGACTTATGGACAATGTCTGCAAAAGCCTAGATTAAAGGGAGTTTCCCTCTCTGAGCTTTATTTCTGATATCTGTTCAAATGTCAGCAAATATTGTTTTCTGTATTTTTATGTTCTTTAAGAACATTTTTATAATAGCAAATTTCAAATATATGTAAATCATAGTCATCATTTGACTTTGTTATAAACTCAGCCAATCTTGTTTCATCTCTGCCTACTCCTTCCTTCCCCACTGTTTTGAAGCAGATCCAAAATGTTGTTTATAAATATTTGTGTGTGCTGTAAAAGGTGAGAACTATTAAAAAAGTCATAATACTATTATACCTAAAAAATGAACAATTCTTGAATGTCAAAATATCCAAATAATGTTTTCCAAAAGCCTACATACTTTCTAAAACAATTTGTTGCTTTGGCGTCTAAGTCTTGCAATTTATAGTTACTACCCTTTCTGTTTTCTCTTGAAATATATTCGTTGAAAAAAACTAGATTATCTGATGGAATTTAAAAAATATTCTAAATTTCATTGTTTGCATACCCATGACATTATTTAATGTATTTCTCTGTCTTCTATATTAACTGAAAACTTAGAGGTCTAAAGGTGTAATCCAGTTCATCATTCACATTTTGCCAAGAACACATCATGACAGTGGACTGTCTGGGTGTTGCTCTTCTCATGATATGAGGAGGCCGCTTCTGTATATTTCATCAGTCCAGTAAATGATTCTCCATTTAGTAGCTGGAATGCTTCTGTAAGAAATTTCCTCTCATTTACTATTAAGATATTCAGATTCATCGTATATGAGACAGGCAGGATAATTGCTGAAACCTCTTTTATTTGCCTGTTTTCACAGTAATGAGCTGGTTGTGTTCTTGTAAAGGCAGAACCTTGCACTCCCCTTTTTATGGTAGTGCTTAGAATCAGACATAGGACCTGACACATGTTAGGCAAATGCACAGGCACTGAGCTGTCTTAGGCCTAGGTGATCAATCTTTGAAAAATCATAGTGCATGGATTTCATGGATTTGAACATATGATACAGTTACATTTGATACAGTTCAAATTTGGTGCTCAAAATATTTCATCTTTGGCCAGTGGGAGCCTCTTTCATTTGGCTCTTCATATCTTCTGCTACCACCCCAATCACTGACAGCTTCTTTGCTTATTAGGATAACAAAATGTCCCAGTCTCATCTTTGTATTTTTGAGAGGGAAAGAGAGTCCGGACACTGTTGTATACTGGGTCAAGACCAAGGGAATATTTGGTCATCTTATACAAGTATACATGTATATATAGCCCCCGCTGTGGGGCCAGGTGTCTGCAGCTCCCTCATGTGGTTGTGCTATGCAGTTGGCTGATGAGGGGGATCCACAGAAGTAAAGGGGAAAGTCTGTCCTTCCTAGAATGATGACCTTTGAAAGAGAAACCTTTTTATATCCCATGGATGGTGGTAGATCTAGAGAACTGCCTGAGGTCTGTCCTGGGGAGCTGTTTCATCAAAGCATTCTGTTCCTTCTTAGAGTGTGTGCCCTGCAGATCATCTTCAGGCTAATTATACTTACTTTCAGTACCTGTTTTATCCCAGCTGAGGGGCAAGTATGAGAACCTTGTTTCTTGAAAACTAAGCTGGTCTGAGTCTCCTCTTCCACTCTGTAACACAGGTTGGCTTTATCTACATCTGAGGTGGGGAAAGTACCTTTCAGTGATATGTTTCTGTGGAGTCTACTTCTTTTATATTCTGGTGGGATTTCTCAGTCTTGTCATTATTGGTATTTTGTGCCAGATAGTTATGTTTGGGGTGATGGTGTCTTGGCCGTTCTGTGCATTGTAGAATGTTTAGCAGCATCCCTGATTCAACCTACTAGATGCAAATAGCACCCTCTAGCTGTGACAATCACAGATGTTTCTGGATATTGCTAGATGTTTCTTCCCCCTGTGGAACAGAATATACCTTAGCTGAGAAATACTGCTTTTGCATTCAGGATAATATATGAAGTAATTTAATTTAGATACTGAAAGAAAAGACTGAATTCTAAGGACCAGGTCTGCTTTGTGCTAAGTTTAAAGCTCCAGCCTGACTCCTAGAATACAAAGGAGTTTTACTAGAGACTTCTTGGGTAGAAAGTATTGTGAAGGAAAGTCAAGAACTGGAGAAGCAGAATCTCAAAGTAGAAGTCTGGAATTCTACAAGAAGCAATGTAAAATGCTTCCCATGTATGCAGTTTTTTAGGCAAGCTCCTGCCACAGAGTCTTAACAGCAGAGTGAACATTTGCTTGGGACTTAGATTAACTTTCCCTTATTTGGGAGGGGGTACTTAAGTTCAGGACAGCTGGTCATAACCTTTCTTACATAAGTTCTCCAAAGGTACATAGTAGGGCCAGGTATGTGGCTTAGCAATGACGTGCTTGTATAGCATTTTGAAAGCTCTGGGTTTGAGCCCTGGTACTGGGGGAAAAAAGGTACACTGTAGATAATAAATATTCAAGGAATGGATGAAAGACCTGAATGTCTACATTTTTTTACTAATTAGAAGGCTCCCATTTGATCCTAAGTACTCGCGGGGGGGGGAAGGCTTCCAGGAGGGTTTGCCAGGGAGAAAAAACACAAATGAATTGCCCCTTCCCTGCTCCATGTCTGGAAGTGATCTCTAGCTCTGGAGTTATCAACTGCAGTTGTACCAAATTTATTGAATTTTAGGGTAGACTTTTCTACTTTTGCAAAAGAAAAATGAGAATTTTGATAGAATTGAGTTTAATTGCTTTGAACAGTATTGACATCTTAATATTAAGTCTTTGAATCCTAAACATGGTATGTTTGTCTATTTATTGATATCTTTAATTTCTTTTAGCAGTGTTTCATTGTATGTCTCTTGTCCTTGGTTATGTTTATTCCTTAATATTTGATTCTTTTTTAATGTTATTGTAAGTAGAATCATTTTCTTAATTTCTTTTTCACAATGTTCATTGTTAGTGTGTGGAAAAACAACTGGTTTTTGTGTGTTGACTTTGTATTTTAATTTTGCTAAATTTATTAGCTGAAACAGCTTATTTGGTGAATCTGTAGTTTGTAACACACAAAATTATACAATTGTGAATATATAATTTTACTTTTTAAAAATTAATTTTATTGGTACATTTTAGGTATACAATATAATGACATTCATTGATGGAAATTTGTACCTTTATATAATCTATCTTGGTTCTTATTTTGTCTCCATTCCCCCATCCTCCCAACCCTTCCATCCTTCCCTATTTACAAAGACTTTGTTTGCATTTTTTCATTTTCTCATATTAATTCCATCCCCTTCTTTCCTTTCCCCAATCTCTCCAAGTTTCCTTTCCTCTTTAGACCTTTTCTTCCTATTTCACAATATCTATTATGCCTTTTGATCCTTATTTACATTTAAAGTTTGTCACACCAGAGAAACTACTCAGTATTTACATGTCTGTCCTATTTGTTTCACTTAAGAGCATTACCTCAATGTGCATCTGTTGAGCTATAAATGTCTCTAATTTGGCTGAATAGTACTCCATTTCATTAAAAAAAAAACACATTTTATTGAGTCTCCAGCTGATGGGCAGTTGGGCTGTTTCCAAATTTTATCTATTACAAACTGCCATTATGAACATGGCTGCACATATATTACTGTGGTATGATTCTTTTAATTCTTTTGGGAAGACACAGAGCAGAGGGATACTGGGGTCAAATGGAACCTGTAATCCTAGTTGTTTGAGGTATCTCCATATTGATTTCCACAGTGGTTGCACCAGTCTGCACTCTCATCAATGATGGATGAAGAGTTCCTTTCTTCCCACAACCCCGCCAACATTTCTTATTGGTTGATTTCTTGATAGCAGCCATTCTTTTTGGGGTAAAGTGGAATCTCAGTGTTGTTTTCATCTGCATCTCTTGAATGACCAGTGATGTGGAACATTTTTTCATATATTTGTGTGCTGCTTTTACTTTGTCTGAGAAGTGTCTGTTCATTTCAGATGCCCATTTTTGAATTGGATCTTACTATTTGGGGGGCCTGATGTTTTTGAGTTCTTTATATATTCTAGATAATAGTCCTTTGAGGAGCAGCTGGTAAACATTTTTTCCCACATTGTAGGTTGTCTCTTAGTTCTGTTGGTGGTTTCTTTTGCAGTGCAGAAGCTTTTTAATGTGATGAGATTCTAGTTGTTGATTCTTTGTGCTAGTTCTTGTGCTACTGAGGATTTATTTGTTCATAAAGTCTTTTCCTATGCCAGTATCTTCAAGAGTTCTGCCTAACTTATCTTCCAGCAAGTTTAGAGTTTCTGTTTTAATGTTTAAATCTTAAATCCATTTGGATTTTAGTTTACTGCATGGTGAAAGATAAGAGTTTAGTTTTTTTTTTTTTTTTTTGGTACTGGGGATCGAACTCAGGCCCTTGTGCTTGTGGGGCAGGTGCCAGAACCACTGAGCTAAATCCCTAGCCTGATGAGGGTCTAGTTTTAATCTTTGGCAGGTTGAAATCCAATTTTTCCAACACAATTTATTAAAGAAGCTATCTTTCCTGCACTGAGGATGGTTGGCTCTTTTGTCAAAGATGAGATAGCTGAGAACATCTGGAGTTGTTTCTGCATCTTCTAATCTATTCCACCAATTTTCAGGTCTGTTTCTTTGCCAGTATCATGATGTTTTATCACAGTGCCTTTGCAGTACAGTTTCAAGTTGGGGATTATGATACCCGCTGTCATGTCTCTGTTGCCTAGAATGGCTTTTGCTATTCTAGGTTTCTTCTGGTTCCAAATGAATTTTTGGATAATTTTCTCTAGTTCTGTGAGATATACCATTTGAACTTCAATTGGGATTGCATTGAATCTGTATAGTAGTTTTGTTAGTATGGCCATTTTCACTATGTTGATTCTTCTTACCCAGGAGCAGGGGATATCTTTCCATTTTATTATATCTTCTTTGATCTCTTTTTTTCAGGGTGCTGTAGTTTTTAGTGTAGAGGTCTTCTGCTTCCTTTTTGAGATTGATTCCTAGATACTTCATTTATTTGGATGCTATTGTGAAAGGAATTGTTTCCCTAATTTCTCTTTCAGTGAGTCTGTTATTTATGGAAAAGAAGGCTATTGACTTTTGAGTGTTGACCTCGTATCCAGGTACTCTGCTGAAAGTGTCAATTAAGTCTAGAAGTCTTTTAGCAGAGTTTTTTGTGTCTTCTATGTAGAGTATCATATCATCAGCAAATAATGACAGTTTAACTGCTTTCTTTCCTATCTTTATTGCTTTAATT